GGGCTGGATGATGTCTCGGGCGCCGCAGCCGATGCAGAGCGTTCCGGAACGCCCTGGAGCGGAGTTCTCCTCGTCCTAGCCCCGTCCGAGTCTTCTCAGAAAGCTCAAAACCGTGAGATCCATGCGTTGCAATTTTACTCACACCGGGCGTTTTCGCCGGTTTTCGGACCCCGGGACCATCACAGATCGATCTGGCTCGAAAAATGTAAAATGATGTAGAAATGTGGGGTCTAGGGCTCCAGTCGTGATGTTTCGCGATGTTGCCAGTATTTTGAAACGCGGGATCTCAGGGAAGGCTCGGAAGGCTCAGAAGGCCACGGCCTTCTGAGAAGCTTTCTGGGCCTTCTCCGAAGACACGGGCGGCGTCTCAGAAGGCGCGAGGGCTTCTGAGAAGCCCCGCCGCCTTCTGAGAAGGACTGCCCACTCCCGCCTCTCGCTTCCAGCCCCGGGGCGCGCCGCTGAGAAGGGCCAAGGGCGGGGGAGGATTCGCCTGGTGGGCACGCTTCAATTGCAGGCCTGTTCTCAAAATTCGGCGGCTCCAGCTTGCTCCTGGGGAGGTCTCTGGCGACCAGATTTCGGCGGTACCCCGCCGAACGAAGCGCCATCCTGGTCGCCAGCAGACTTGGCCTGGCTCACCCGACGTGGCCCGCAGGCGCGAGGACTTCTGGGAAGCCCCGCCGAGTTCCGACGAGGCGTGCCCCCTCGGAGTGCCACCCGGCGCGCCACCGCTGACCGCAGAGACGGCAGGCCACAGCTGGACCGCGGAGACGCAGCAGAAGACGACGCCAAGATCGGGGCAGCATCGGACCAGGACAAATCGGCTTCTGAGCTCCGGCTGTCCTGGAAGATGTGCAGAGCGCCGCGACCGCTCTAGAGCGCTCCGGAACGCTCGGAGGGCGGTCTGGGACAACCTGGGGCGATCTGGCCCGATCCTGGACCCTATATTTTTGGCGGCGAGCGCGGGGTGGAAGCGGGGAGGGGCGGGCCTTCTCAGAGGGCTCGGAAGGCACCCAGCCTTCTGAGAAGTGTCCCCGAGCCTTCCCCGAAGACCCCGAAGACGCCACTCAGAGAGGGCGCGAGGGCCTCCGAGGAGTCCCGCCGCCTGCTGGGAGGGCCTCCTCCTTCTCACGTCCCCCCCTCGCTCGCCGCCGAGGTGTGCCACGGCCCGGGCCCGCGCTGGGGCAGGCCGAGGGCAAAGCGGCCCAGGGCAGGGCGCGGCGCCGTGGAAGAGCTCGGCGGCACGCCCGGGGGGGGGAAGTGAGCAGGGGGGGGGGGGCCCTTCTGAGAAGGCTCGGAAGCCCCCCCGCCTCCCGAGAAGTTTTCTGAGCCCTCCCCGAAGGCACGGAAGACTCCTCAGAGGGCGCGGGGGCTTCTGAGAAGGCCCACCGCCTTCTGAGAGGGCCGTCTCCTGCTCACTTCCGCCCCTCGCTCGCCGCCGAGGTGTGCCACGGCCCGGGCGGAGGCGGAGGAGGAGGAGGAGGAGGAGGAGGAGGAGGAGGAGGAGGAGGGAAAGGGGGAGGGGGAGGGGGAGGAGGAGGAGGAGGAGGAGGAGGAGGAGGAGAGGAGGAGGAGGAGGAGGAGGAGGGAAAGGGGGAGGGGGAGGGGGAGGAGGAGGAGGAGGAGGAGGAGGAGGAGGAGGAGGAGGAGGAGGAGGAGGAGGAGGCGGAGGAGGAGGGCGCGGCGCCGTGGCGGAACGCCTGGCCAGGGCCCACGGCGCGACCCGCGCCCTGGCAGCAAACGCGCGCGGGCGAGGCCCACGCAGGCGCGCCAGGCGCGCGCGCGCGCGCCTGCGAAATCCTGCAAAACGCTGGGCGCGAGCTCCGAAGCGACGCGCTACGCCAAGCAAGAAGTGCTGGACGTGACGGGCACAGGGGCGTTGGCCTGATGAACCCTGAAAAAGGAACGAGGTCCTTCTTTCCACAAGTCAAACCCTGACGAACACTAAGTCAGGAACGAGGTCCCTTTTTCCGCAAGTTAGACTTCGATTTCCCATCGAAAAACGTAAGGAAAACCTTAGGCAAGGGGTGGAACAACTAAGGAACACCGAGCCCCTCCCCAACGAAAAGGCTCCCTTTTTCAGCGCCCCGACTGTACCCCAGGCCAAGGGGAACGGCCACAGTGCCCGATGTTGGCACAGACCAGACCCGCAGAGAGCACGAGCCCCGTGCTGGACGGAGCTGGGCTGATGCAGGTCTGACTGGACTGAGCTGGGCGAGATGGCTGAAGTCGGTCGGCATCGACTCAGGAATAGAAAGCGCGGTGGGCGATCTTCATGAAAGCTAACACACCTGAACAAGCTTACGGTAGATTACAGTCCGACGCTTAAGAGCAAGCTGATTCTCACACCGATGACACCTCACGGGGGGGGGCAAGACCATTTTGTTTAAACCTGGCGGCGCCGAGGGTCCTCAAGCGCGGGCAGCAGATGCAAAGTGCTAATTGCGATCGAGCTCTGTCGACGGCACGGTGTACGAGACATCGCACACTGCAAAGTGACAAACGCTGAGTGGTGTGCTGAAGGGACCGCACTCCCAAACGTAGACGGTCAAGACCACACGGCTCTCCCTGGTGCCACTGGGCCGGCACCGCCCCCCGAGCGCCGCACGGAGAGGCGCCAGGGATCCGCCACCAGGGTACCCAGCGCACCAGGAGGGCACGGCCAGTGCAGAGGCGCGCTCGCGGAGCGGGACACGGCTGCGCGGGGGCGGCGCCCGCGGCGCAAGGAGGGCTCGAGCAGGGGACCGAGCACAGCACTGGTTCACCCCAAACTTGAGTTCCTCGCCGACTGCGATGCCGCCAGCTGCACAAGCCAAAGCTGCGAGGGAGCCGGGTGCGACTCGGGCCCCCGGCGCCCCACCAGCGCACACGGAGGGCGGCCAGGGAGCAGGCGCCACAGCCGATCCCCAGGGGTGGCTTACACTGGGGGCCCATGCCAAGAAGCACCCTGCTTGCCTCCAGGGTGCCATGGGTTTCTTGGGTGACGATACTCTTGCCGTGGAAAGGGTGACGCTTCCACGCCAGAAATCAGGGGACGTCCTGGGGTCTCAGGGTTGGGCTTCTTGTGGAAGGTTTCTTTTGGTCGGGCCTCCTCTGTGTTCAAGTGGCTTGCGCTATTCTGCCGACCCCCGGAGGAAAAACAAAGTTCACGGGTGGGCCTTTTGCCTCTCGGGAGCCGTTTGGGGGGCCCGTGGGGGCATCCTCTGGGCCTCTCGGGGGCCTCTTGCAGCCTTCCTGAGGGCTTGTCGGGCGCCTGGGGTCGGAACGGAGAGAGAGAGAGAGAGAGGGAGGCGAGGGGGCGGGGAAGAGAGAAAGGGCTGCGGCGGACCCACGGCCACAGCTGCAGGCGCACGGGGCAGAGCTGCCTCCGCGGCCGGCCGGGAGAGCCCGCTGCGGCCGCGCGACGCGGACCGCGGCCGACGCCCGCGACGGGACACGGAGGGGCAGGGGCTGGCAGCCCGCTCCCGCGGCCTCTCTCGGCCGGCCTCTCGCTCGCGCGGTCCGCGAAGCACAAGGGAGGCGACCGGCTCCGCGGCGCCCACGGAGCAGGTCGTCCCCGCCCGGGATCGCCGCAAGCCCCGCACGGGGTGCTCCAGCAGGCGGTCCTCGACCTTTGCCACCAGCGACCCGGACACCGCCCGCCAGACCTACGTCGACTGGTGCACCATCTGCGTAAACCCAACCTACCCCGAATGGGGCAATAATCGCCCCCTCCCCACCCCTTGGATCCGCTGGTGGGGTAGGGCACGTGCTGTCGGCACGGGTGGAGGGGGGGCTGGAGGAAGAGGAGGAGGAGGACGAGGGGGAGGAGGACGGAGGGGGCAGGAGTGTGCAAGCTCAGTCGGGAGGTTAATCACCCCCCCCTTGATAAATACCCCATCCAGAGTACGCTCCACGCAGGTGTGCCCGCGACGACAAGGAGTCGAGAGCTCTACCCCCCGCAAGGAGGAGAGCTGGTCCCCTCGTCTTCGACACGGGGAGGCAGAACCAGCGACGAAGCAGCCAACTTCGTCCGCAGCTACGGTGCGTGTTTGGACGACAGCGGACGCTCAGAGCTGTTGGGCGAGGTCTGGCGGCAAATCAGCAAAACCCTCCAACGGGATATCGCGGTGCTTGAAGCGGAACCCAGAACCATAACCCCAATGCCTGAGAGTCCCCCTGCGTGATAGGGGGTGGGGACTGATTGGGTGCCCCCCGAAAGAGGGAGGGGAAGGGAGGGGAAGGGAGGGAAAGGGAGGGGAGATGAGGAAGTGAAGGGAGGGGAGGGAAGAAAAAGGAGGACGAGGAAGAGGAGGAGGAGGAGGGAGAGGATGAGAAGGGGAACAGAGCGGAGCCTCCCTCGACACATTCCGCTAACCAGAAAGAAAAGCACAAGGTACGACACACCTGGATTTGTGATAATAATGAATTTAGTGGGCTTCGGGGCCCAATCACTTATCAGCTCCCCTTACCAGGGGTCCGGGCTACATCCGGACAATGTTGAAGAGGAGGAGGAGGAGGAGGAGGAGAAGGAGGAGGAAGAGGAGAAGAAAAAGGTGGAGCGGAGGAGGAGGGGGAGGGGGGAGGGAGGGTAAGAGGAGGGGGAGGGAGAGAGAGTGGAGGAGAGGAGGGGGGAGGGGGGAGGAGGTAGGAGGAAGGAGGGGATGAGGACCAAGGAGGAGGGGAGGAGGAGGAGGAGAGGAGGAGGACGGGGAGGAGGACGGGGAGGAGGAGGACGAGGAGGAGGAAGAAGAGGGGGGGGAGGGGAGGGGGAGGGGAGGGCGGAGGGGAGGGGAGGGGAGGGGAGGGGAGGGAGGGGAGGGGAGGGGAGGGGAGGGGAGGGAGGGGAGGGGAGGGGGGGGCGCGACCAGGGAGGCAGGGAGGGAGGAAAGAGGGAGGAGAGGAGGGAGAGGGGGGAGGAGGTAGGGAGGGGAGGAGGGGAGGAGGGGCGAGGAGGCGGGGAGGAGGGGGGGAAAGAAGGAGGGGAGGAGGGGGGGAAAGAAGGAGGGGAGGACGAGCCCCTCCTCAGCAGCGACCCGCGGAGCCCCGCCGCCGCTGCCGCCCCACCGCCCAGCGCGCACCGCCAGCCGCGCAGCGGCGCCAAGGGCGCCCCCAGCGCCAGCCGCGGGGAGCGCGCCGCCCTCGCGCCCACGGCGAGGCCGTCCTGCACGGCCGCCGCTGCCGCCGCCGCCGCCGCAGCAGCCGCCGCTGCTGTCGCCGCCGCCGCCACGGCCGCCGCCCAGGCCAAAAAAGACCCCTCGGGTCACGGTTCTGGTTCCGGTTCCGGTTCTGCTTCTGGTTTCCTTCCTGTTCTTTGGTCCGTGACGGTCGTCGTGGTTCTGGTTACGGTTTCCTTCCTCTTCTTTGTGCCCAGGGACGCCTCAAATCCTGGTTCCCCTGCCGCCGCCTCCTCGTCACTTTCCAAGTCCGCCGTTTTACGTTGCCCTGACGTTGCCTGGTGAGGGCGCTGCGTCTGAGGTCCAAGTCCTCCCCCTCCCTCTTCGTCCTCTCGTCCTCCTCTCCACTCTTGAGCATGGCTTCTCCGGGGCTCCGGTCGGCGGGGTAAATGTCGACGGGCTCGGGCCGCTTGTGCTCCCGCCGCTGCCCGTGCTGCCTACCTCCCCGGCCATGAATCTCGTTCACAAGACCCCTTGAGAGGTCATATTAGACCCTCACGCGTAGAGCTCCTGCTCCTGCTGCCTCCTTCCTTCTACACTCCTCTCTCTCTCTCTCTCTATCTCTCGATGTATATATGTGCATATATATATATATGATTTCCTCTCTCTTTATCATTATCCCTCTTCTTATATCGCGTTCTCTCTCTCTCTCTGTCTCGCTCTCTCTCTCTCTGTTTCTCTCTCTCTCTCTTTCTCTCTCTTTCTCTCTCCATCTCTCTATCTGTCTGTCTCTATCCCGCCTCCCTCACTATCTCTATCTCTCTCTCTCTCTCTCTTTCTCTCTCTCTCTCTCTATCCCTCTCTCTCTAGATCTATAGCTCCATAACGATCTCTACCCCGCCTCCCTCGCTCCCCCTCCCTAGAAGGCCGAAGAGAGGGAGGGGATCCTGCCTGCATCGGATTCCCCAGGAGGCCCCAAGACCCCTGAGGAGGCCTCAGGAGACTCCAGGAGGCTGCAAGAGCCCCCCAAGCCCCAGGTGGAGCTGTGAGCAGCAGAGGGGGAAGGAGGAGGATAGAGGATGAGGAGGATTGTCAGGGGGAGAACGCGGGGTGAAGGAGGACGAGGCAAAGAAGAAGCAGGCCGAGGACAGGGAGTAGCGGAATGAGAGTTAGTAGGGCGAAAAAGATGCTGAAGACGATAATGAATATAATTATCCTGATGATGGTCGTGATGATGATGGTGATGACGACGACGATGACGGTGACGGTGACGATCACGATGACGAGGAGGATGATGATGATTATTATTACGAAAGTGATGATGATGACGATGATGCTGATGGTGATGATGATGGTGATGATGATGGTAATGATGGTGATGTTGATGGTCATGATGATGATCCTGATGATGATGTTGATGTTGATGATGATGATTATGGTGATGGTGATGGTGGTGATGGTGGTGATGATGGTTGTTGGTGGTGGTGGTGTTGGTAATGGTAACCCTGATAATGTCAATGCTGATGAATAGATTGATGATGGTGATGGTGCTGGTGTTGGTGGTGGTGATGGTTATGGTGATGGTTATGTTGATGGTAATGGTGATGGTGATGATGAGGAGGAGGATGCTGATGATGACGATGATGGTAATGCTGATGATGCTGATGATGCTGATGATGATAATGATGATGATGATGATGATCGTGATGATACTGAGATGGTGGTGATGCTGGTGCCGGTGACGGTAACGGAGATGATGCGGATAGTGGTGAGACGATGGCGATGACGACGATGTAGTCGATGCAGACGACAGCTATGATGTTGATGGTGATGATGACGATGATGCTCCCCCACCCGTGGAGAGTGCACTGTGCACTGCTCCCGCACGCCACCACCCAAGGTCAAGGTGGCGCTGAAGCTCTGGCCACCTCCGATGTTTGCGGTGATGACATTGGCGATGATAAATGCGATGCTGGTGAAAACAAGAGGATGGGAATGATGAAGAGAAGGAAAGCGTGAGGAGGAGGGGAAGGACGGGAGAAGACGGGGAGGGGGGGGGGGGGAATACGAGGGTTCGGAGTGGGAGGAATGGGCGGAGGTGGGAGCAGCAGCAGGATGGAGCAGCAAGGTTAGAGAAGAAAACACAAAAAAAACACAATCATAAACGTAAAATTTCGGAGGCCCGCGCGGATCTTGGATCGGCGCTGGAGCCCCCTCCCAGCGCGCGGAAGCCCAGCGCACATCTCGGAAATCAGCGCGGCCCTCGGGAAGAATACGTTAGTGCTGCTTCTTCTTGGTCCCCGACAGGAGCAGGGAGCAGCGAGGTGATGATGATGATAATGAGAATGAGAATGATGATGTGGATGATTTTGATGATTTCGATGATTTCGATGATGTTGATGATGTTGATATTGATGTTGATGTTGATGTTGATGTTGATGTTGATGATGATGATGATGATGATGATGACGATGATGATGATGATGATGATGATGATGGCGATGAGGATGAGGATGATGATGATGACGACGGCGACGACAACGATAATGATAACGACGATAATGTTGAAAGATAATGGAATGGTGGTACTGATGGCTCTGTTTTACAGAATCGCGGCTCAGGGTGGGGGTCTTGGCGGAGGTCGGCGGCGGAGCTCTCTGCCCGCGATACAGAGCACTGCGCACACTGGTGCGGAGACCGAAGGGAGCATGGCCCCGCACAGCTGGCCGGAAGCCCGAAACCCACGGGGAGGGCGCGGAAGGCCAGCCAGGGGCCACGCACAGCAAGCTGTTCGGGGACACGCGAAGAAAAAGCAGCAAACGTCCCTCGGCCCCGGGTTGGAGCGAACCCCGCGGAGGTGATGACGATGGTGCGGATGGTGACTCAGCAAGATGGAGCCGTGCTCCTCCGCGCCGATGCCCAGCAGCGGCTCCGCGTCGGCCCTGTCCAGCAGCATGCCGACACCGCGGCCTACAGCCGCCTGGGCGCTGGCTGCCCTCCTCGCCCTCATTCCCCGCATCCCCCACCTCTCCTCCCTCTCCTCCTTTTTCTCCTCCTCCTCCTCCTCCTCCTCCTCCTCCTCCTCCGCCTCTTCCTCCTCCTTTTCCTCTTCCTCCTCCTCCTCCCCTTCCTCCTCATCGTTCCTCCTCATCCTCGGTCCTCCTCGTCCTCCTCCTCCTCTTCCTCCTCCCCCTCCTCCTCCTCATATTATTATGATGATCAGTATTAATATTAGCATTGCTATTACTATTACCATTAGTAGTAGTAGCACTGGTATATCACTACTACTCTGATCGTAAATAAAAAAGAAGAAATCAGATACCTTATTAGTATTATCATTACAAGTGGCATTATTATTACTATGACTTACACTGCTACCATTAGTAGCGATAATATTGTTACGCTTCTTGTTAACAATAGTATTAACATTAGTGGTAGTACGAATAATAATACCATTCGTAACTTCTCATACCAATACTACTATCAAAATATAACAATACTATCAATACGTTATTAGTATTATATGATGTGTATCCGTCGTCTTCGTCTTCTTCTTCATATGATCATTCGCCTTCTTCTGACTACTGTTATTACTCGTACTATTGTTACGAATAAATCCTTATTCGCATGGTATTACTCTCTTTGTTCCTCCTCTTCTTCCTCCTTCCTCTTCCTCTTCCTCCTCCTCCTCCTCCTCCTCCTCCTCGGCCCTCCTCCTCTGTTGCCTCCGCAGGCCGCGCCAGGGGCGCAAGCAGGTACCGTCGCAGTGGGCAGCGAGAGAGAGCACGCAACCGCCTCAGGCGGAAGGAGTGCAGGGGGTGCGCGCGGAGCGAGGCCAAGGACAGCGGGGGGCACGAACCCAGGAAGAGAGGGAAAAGAGAATAGCCACACTGGGCCTCCTCCTCCTCCTCCTCCTCCTCCTCATCCTCCTCCTCCTCCTCCTCCTAATCATCATCGTCATCATCATCATCATCATCATCAGCAGCATCAGCATCAGCATCATCATCCTCATCCGTATCCTTATCCTTATCCTTATCATTATCATCATCACCAGCATCATCATCATCATCATCATCATCATCACCATCAACACAATCAGCATCATCATCATCAGCATCATCATCATCCTCATCATCATCAGCATCATCGTCATCTTCCTCATCATCAGCAACAGCATCATCCTCATCAGCATCATCAGCATCATCATGCTCAGCATCCTCATCAGCATCATTATCATCATCATCCACATCATCATCATCATCATCATCATCATCATATCATTAAGCATCATCACCACCATCGTCACCATCATCAGCATCACCGCCATCCTCACCATCATTGTCATCATCATCATCAGCATCATCATTAGCCAGAAGCAGCATCATCCTCATCAACATCATCATCATCAGCAGCAGCAGCATCAACGTCATCATCATCAGCATCATCATCAGAAATCATCGCCACCATCATCACCAGCATCACCATCATCATCATCGTCATCATCATTATTATTATCATCATCATCAGCACAGTCATTGCCATCATCATCAGCAGCAGCAGCATCATCCTCCTCGCCATCATCATCATTATTAGCCAGCAACAGCATCATCAGCAGCATCGACATCATCCTCATCATCATCAGCAGCATCCTCATCAGCATCATCATCCTCATCCTCATCCGAATCAGCGTCAGAATCAGCATCATCAGCATCATCAGCAACATCATCATCATCATCAGCAGCATCATCATCAGCAGCATCAGCATCCCCATCACCATCACCCTCACCCTCACCAGAATCACCTGCCAGCATCACCAGCATCACCACTATTACAATTACCAGCAGCATCGTCCTCCTACTCACCATCATCATCATCATCATCATCATCATCATCATCATCATCATCATCATCATCATCATCATCTTCATCGTCGGCTAGCAGCAGCATCATCGTCAGCTCACCACCAGCATCATCAGCATCATCATCAGCAGCATCATCATAATTAGCACACCCATTTGCATCATCAGCATCACCATCATCAGCAGCATCATCACCAGCAGCATCTTCATCATCATCATCATCATCATCATCATCATCGTCATCATCATCATCATCATCATCATCCTCATCTGCATCATCATCATACTCATCATCCTCATCGGCATCGCCGTCATCAGCATCAGTATCATGATCATCCTCATCATCACCATCACCAGCATCATCGCCATAATCACCAGCATCACAAGCATCATCACCATCAGCATCATCACCATCAGTATCATCATCATCATCATCCTCAGCATCATCATCAACATCAACATTATCAGCAACACCATCATCATCATCAACAGCACAATCCTCATCGTCCTCCTTATCATCATGATCATCATCATCAACAGCAGCAGCAGCAACAGCATTATCAGCAACAGCAGCAGCGTCCTCATCCTCATCCTCATCATCATCCTCATCATCATACCAAGCGACCCATTTGCGTCATCCCTGGCGGCAGGGCGCCGACAAGGGTGGGGGGGGGGGGCAAGGCTGCGCCCGCCGTGGTTCGGAAGCCTTCAGGGTCGACTGCTGAGGAGGAGGCGGAGGAGGTGGAGGAGGACGAGGAGGGGGAGGATGAGGGAAAGGCGAGGAGCGAGGAGCGAAGGGCGAGGAGGAAGAGGAGGAGCAGCAGCAGCAGCATCAAGAGGACGAGGATGAGGGAGGAAGAGAAAGACCCGAGGGAGGAGGAGAAGGAGGAGGGAAACAGGGAGGGAGGAAGGGAGGGATGGGGAAGGAGGAGGAGGAAGACGAGGATGAGGAGGAGGAGGAAGCGATGAGGAGTGAGGAGGGGAGGAGGAGGAGGAGGAGGAGCGATGAACGATAAGGAGCGGGAGAGGAGGAGGAGGAGGAGGAGGGGAGCAGGAAAGGAGGAGGAGGAGGAGGAGAAAGGGAGAGCGGGGAGGACGGAGGGAGGGAAAAGAGGGAGGAGAAGGAGGAGCGAGGAGGAGGGACGCAGCAGCAAGCAGCAGCAGGAGAGGGAGGGGAGGAGGAGGAGGAGGAGGAGGAGGAGGAGGAGAAGGAGAAGGGGATGCAGGAGGCGCAGGAGGGGTTCAGGGCCCCCGTGCCCCTGGCAGCCTCGCGGGCCTCGCGGCACCGCGAGCGGGGCCGCCGCGCCGGCGGCGCGGGGGCTGCGCCGTGGCCAGGTTTCGGGGGGCCCGCCCGCTTCGGGGGGGCCCGCGCGCCTGGAGGGCGGCTGCCGCGGGCGGCCCCGCGCACGGATTGGCGCGTCGCGCATGTGCGCCCGCGGACTGCCCAAGAGAACGACAGGACGGAGGCGGCGACGACGACGACGACGACGACGACGACGGCGGCAGCTACGAAAAGGGACAACGACGACCACGACGACGACGACGACGACGACGACGACGACGACGACGACGACGACGACGACGACGACGACGACGGACGGCGGCAACTACGAAAAGGGACGACGACGACGACGACGACGACGACAAGCAGGCGGCACTGCCAAGTCTGCACGAGCCGACGGCCTAATGTACTGTATTGCCCTTCGCCCGAGTCGTCGATGGGCCCATTTTCCACCACCACTACCACACGTAGGAGAGGGAGGAGGAGAAGGAGGAGGAGGAGGATGCGATGCAATGCGATGCGATGCGACCACCGTTGCGGACAGCGTCCGGGCCTAGAGCAGACCAGGTGGGTGACTCCATGGCCTCTGGGATCTGAGGTGTCTGGATTCATGCAATGTGAAACATGTGAAAAGTTAGCAGGAGAGGGGGAAAGGAGGAAAGGAAAGTCCTTGGTGTCGGTGTCGGCGCGGGTTGGGCGAGATGTCTTGACGTTCGCAAAGATTTTACGTCATTGGGCTCAGTCCCGGGTGCTGGTCAACGCGAGGTCGGTGAAGTGGTGCTCGAGCGCTGCCCATGCTTCGGTGTCTTGGGCTGTTTGCGTCCATGTGGTGTCGTTCGGTTGTCCTTTCGAATGGGCTTGCGTGGGCCGTCGGTGGAGGTCTGGTCTGCGTTGACGTAAATAAGTGATTTCGTCGTCCCAACGCTTGTTTTGGCCGCCGTGCTGCCTGTCCCCGCTGGTGCGGGTTGAGGACTCGGTGCCGGCGCAGCACTCGCCATGTCCACTTCGTCCAGCCGTGGTTTGCGACTCGCGAAGCCATGCGCCATGCTTTCCGCTTGCGCGGCGTATCCCAATTGTCAATGTGGTGGAGTTTCATGAGGTGCTCTGCGCGTCGTGTCACTCGCTGGATGTAGTCGACCCATGGTCCATTTCGTCTGCGGTGGTGCTGTCTTCGCCGTCTTCGCTGTGCTTGTCGGGCGCGTCAGGTGCATCACACTGTGATGGGCTGCTGCCTGCATCGTCGCTAGTGCTGTTGGTGCGGTCTTCGTGGTCTTGAGCTTCGTTGTTCGCGCCGTCGAGATTAGGTCCCTGGCCGCGGTGAGGGCCGGCTTCTTTCGTTGTGCGTCTCCGTGGGGTTCAGATGATCATGCGAAGCATGCGTCGTTGTGTCCGTCGTAGATGCTGCCGCAGAGGATCCGCGAGGGTCAACGTCTCTGCTGCGCACGAGTGTCAACGTCTCTGCTCCGTATAACGCCGTTGGTGCTACAGTGCTGTTGGAAAGTCGGAGTCTGGGAGCCATTGGGTAGGGTTTGCTGGTCAGCTCCAGCTTGCGAGACGCGAATGGCGCCCATGCAGCTTGCGCGCGGTGGTGGGTTTCCGTTTCCATCGGTTCGTGGAAGCTGATCAATTGGCCGAAGTATTTGATACTGCCCTCGTATGGAACGATTTCTAGATCCATGTCTTGGAAACGTGCTGTGCGTGAGCTCGCCCTTCCGGTCCTTCTCGTCTGATTGCTCTGTATTTTGGTTCTGCTCGGGTGCAGTTCGAGCCCGCGTAGCCTCGTCGCGCGCACGCCGAAGTCAAGCATCGCTGTCAGGCGCGGGAGGGTTTGGCCGGCCAGGAGCACGTCGTCGGCGAAGCGTAGGTTGGTCAGCGCGGCGGCGCTCGTGACCCACAATGCAACTCCCTTCCTTTTGCGCTGTCATTCGGAAACCAGCGGTCCAAGGATGTATTGTAGAAGAGCGTTGAAGAGTAGGGAGCTGAGTGGGCCCCCCCGCTTCGTGCCCCGCAGGAGGCTAAAGGGTCCACTGCCGACGTCTGCCCTCGCAGTGGCTGTCTGCCCCTCAAAGCGCTGTCGGAGTAGTGCAACGCATCCAGGTTGGACCCCTTGTGCCTTCAGTGCTGCCCATTTGCTCTCGTGCTCAACTGAATCGAAAGCTTTTTTGAAGTCAAGTGCTTCAACCCAGAGGTTTTGGCCCCAGTCGTTTGCGCGCTCGCGCAATACATGGAAGGTCTAAAGAATGGTCAGTGGTCGGGTGGCCTGGTCTGAAGCCCGCCTGGTCGGCAGTCTGGTGCGAGTCAAGCGTCGTTTGTAGCCTGTTGTACAGTAGTCGGCTGAAGAGCTAGCACAACAATGGCATCGCGCGAATGGTGCGGTAGTTTTGTGGACGCGCGAGATCTTGACTTTTTGGCATGACTGCCATGACTGCGCCCTTCCAGCAAGCCGGCGGCGGGGCTTCGCGCTGCAGGATCGCGTTGTAGTGGCGGAGAAGTGCACCTCGAGTTCCTGTGTGCCTTCTTTAAACCTCTCTGCGCGGAGGCCATTCGTGTCTGGGGCTTCACCTAGCCCGAGACCTTTGATCGCCTTGTTTGGCTCTTTCGGTGTGAAGGGTGGGAGTCGGCGAGTCTGCTGATCGCTGGTCGGTCGTAGGTCTGCCAGTCTGGTGGCCGGCGGGCGGGGGTTGGTCTGCTGGACTGCTGGTCGGTCGGTCGGTCTGGCGCGCGGTTTGCTGCTTTTTCGGTTTGCTGGTCGGTCTGCTGGTCGGTCAGCGGGGTCGTCGTTTGATCGTTGTGGGAGTCGGTGGGTCTGCTGGTCGGTCGGTGGTAGTCGGTCTGCTGGTCTGTTAATGGACGGTCGGTGGTCGGCCTGCTGATCTACTGGTTGGTCGGCCGGCGCGGCGTTCGGCCTGTTGGTTTGCTGGTCTGCTGGTCGGTCTGCTGGCCGGTGCGCTGGCCAGTGGTCGGTGGGGTCGTCGTTCGGTCGTTGTGGGAGTCGGTGGGTCTGCTGGTCGGTCGGTGGTAGTCGGTCTGCTGGCCTGCTAGTCGGCGGTCGGTGGTCGGTCTGCTGGTCTGCTGGTTGGTCGGCATGCGCGGCGTTCGGCCTGTTGGTTTGCCGGTCTGCTGGTCGGTCTGCTGCTCGGTCTGCTGGTCGGTGGTCGGTGGGGTCGTCGTTTGGTCGTTGTGGGAGTCGGTGGATTCTGCTGGTCGGTCGGTGGTAGTCGGTCTGCTGGTCTGCTAGTCGGCGGTCGGTGGTCGGTCTGCTAGTCTGCTGGCTCGTCGGCCAATGCGGCGCTCGGCTTGTTGGTTTGCCGGTCTGCTGGTCGGTCTGCTGGTCGGTCTGCTGGTCGGTGGTCGGTGGGGTCGTCGTTGGGTCGTTGTGGGGGTCGGTGGGTCTGCTGGTCGGTCGGTGGTAGTCGGTCTGCTGGTCTGCTAGTCGGCGGTCGGTGGTCTGTCTGCTGGTCTGCGGGTTGGTCGGCCGGCGCGGCGTTCGGCCTGTCGGTTTGCCGGTCTGCTGGTCGGTCTGCTGGTCGGTCTGCTGGTCGGTGCTCGGTGGGGTCGTCGTTTTGTCGTTGCGGGAGTCGGTGGGTCTGCTGGTCGGTCGGTGGTATTCGGTCTGCTGGTCTGCTAGTCGGCGGTCGGTGGTCGGTCTGCTGGGCTACTGGTCGGTCGGCTGGCGCGGCGTTCTGCCTGTTGGTTTGCCGGTCTGCTGGTCGGTCTGCTGGTGGGTCTGCTGGTCGGTGGTCGGTGGGGTCGTCGTTGGGTCGTTGTGGGAGTCGGTGGGTCTGCTGGTCGGTCGGTGGCAGTCGGTCTGCTGGTCTGCTAGTCGGCGGTCGGCGGTCGGTCTCATGGGCTACTGGTCGGTCGGCCGGCGCGGCGTTCGGTCTGCTAGGTTGCGGGTCTGCTGCTCGGTCTGCTGGTTGGTCTGCAGGTCGGCGGTCGGCGCGGTCGTCGCTCGGTCGTTGCGGCTGCGTCGCCGTCGTTGTCGAGCTGTACAATTGCTCGTAGAACTCCGCGAAAGCGTTCGCGATTTCTTGTCGCGTCGCGCAATCGTTGCCCAATTTGTCTGTCACGGGGATACTGAGAGTTCGTCTTCTCCGTGTTTTGATACGCGGGATGCTCTTTAAATCTCTGAAATGCTCAAGTACGTTGGCTATATGGGCCAGTCGTCTCGTCCTCTTCTGCGCACGGATCTCTTGCTGTATACGTTTACTCAGCTGCTTGCGGGCGCGGCGGTCGTTGCGCGGCGTCTGCTACCGTTCAGTGAGTAGGTTGCGTAGTCGCGCCGGTTCTCTGTCGAGTTGTTGGTTTGCTTGCGCACTGGCCAGGGCTGCGCCGCCTCTGTCGCGCCAAGATGAGTGCACCGCGGCACTGCTGGCGGCAGCGGCTACGACGATAACTCGCTGGATGTGTTCGCACAGTTCACTCGGGTCGGAAGGCAAACTGCGCGGGCGTAAATGGGGCCTTTGGTGGTCATGGTAAACTTGCGCGTTGGTGATAGTGCCGGTCGTTCGTCGTCGGCGCTGTCGCCGTTGCTGTTGTCGTTCGCAACCACATCGTGGTCGTCCGCATATCATGGCGGTCGGCACCCGGGAATCTACGGCAACAGCCTCGTCGTCGGAGCCGAGGTCGGTCCTGTTGTTTCTGGGCGCCCGACTTGGGCACGGAAAGAATTGTGCCCAACAACAAATGTTGCCCCAAACCAACAGCGGTCGCTGTTGGGCAGGCGGCCTTCTGTCTCGAATGGACACAGGCCGCGGCGGCGTGGACAGCGAGTCCTGTTCAAACTGAACAAGATCCGCTGTTGGGCATTGTGCCCATTCTTTCCGCGCCCATTTCGTTCGCGCATTTCGCTGGCCTCTGCGTTGGCGCAGCGCCGGAGCATCGCGCGGTTCAGTACGTAGTCAAGCTGCTTGTGATTGTCGCCACTGCTATAAGCGATTCGATTGCGCAATGGCTCGCCAAGAAAAATGCAATAACAAGTCTCTCCTGGGCGGCCCAATGACGTAGCCTAATACCCCGCATGTCGGCGGCGGCGTCTGCGTCCTCGGAGGTCATGGAAGCCCCCGTCTGTGCGATAAAATCCCCTGCGAGTATCAAGTGATGTC